CTCTGCTCCTCCATAAGTTTTTTTGTTGCGAGCGTCGACGGTGGCCGTCAGTGGTGAGGCAAACGGGCGGGGACGTATGCGCGCTGCGCGACGCAGGGGGTGGGGGTGGGGGCGGCCGCCATGGCCTCCAACCTGGGTGGTGGCGGAACCACCAACAAGCTCTCGCCGGCAACGACGTGCTCGTGTGCAAGAAGCCTCCCGCCATGCCGCAAGCTTCAAAGCAGATCAGGTGTTGCTTCTGCTGCTGTGTACTAAGGTACTTCCTTCGTTTCAAAATAGATGACCCAACTTTGTACTAACTTGTATTAAAATTAGTACTTCATATGTAAACTAATATAAGAGCGATTGGATTACTAAAATAGTGATCTAAACACTCTTACATTAGTTTACAGAGGGAGTATAAAGTTGGGTCATCTATTTTAGAACGGAGGGAGTACCTGCCTTGATGTTTTCCCTGTCGCTGTGACGTGAGGTCACTCGGGATGTTTCTTTTGGCTTTTGCTGCGTCTTCTTGGTTTGCATGCCCGTAATTTTGAATCCTATAGCGCTCTCGGTTTCTCGTAATTTCGAACATTAAACGCGAAGGATGACGGATGAGTGGGGGCACTGGGCGACGGATGAGTGGGGGCACTGGGCGATGAAGCCGGAGCCCGAAGGCATCGCTTTACCGGACGGGCCCGGCCTCAAACTAGCGGGTACGAGTGTGCTGGGCTGGGCCGAGATACAATACGGTACACACTGTGGCGCGCGCCACCTCGGATATGTAACATATGTTGTTCTGCTGTACGTTTAGTACCACACCGCGTGCGGAAGGTAGAACGGACGTGTTTATAACCTTGTTTGGCGATTAGGCAATCACCAGGCAGCAGGCCTGGTCAGCAATCTCTTACTACCTTGAAATATGGAATTATACTTCATAGGTGCTGCTCGGACTTGGTTGACCACACGACACGTTGTGGGTTGCTTTTTTTTTTTCCTCGGACAGAATATGGTCATCTTATGTATTCGATGTTGATTTGGTATACTACTATATGTTTATATTATTTTTTTTCCTAAGACGGTATATGGTCATCTTATATGTTCAATGTTGATTTTGTATACTGCATGTTCATAGTTTTTTCTATATACTTGATCAAAGCATATAAATTTGACTTCAGACAAGCTAATATGCGGAGTAAAACGAAGGGATTAGACTAGGTATAACCATCTTATACATCCAATGATGTTCATTTGGTAGTATTGTATTTGACAGTATAGAGGTTCAGAAGAGAATTGGTAACTAGTGTTAGTTTGCTCTATGAGAGGTTTGTCGCTCGCAAGCAACCAAACATATGTGAAAGCGAGGAGGCACATAATTAAACTCCAAGTAGGGAAGTGGGTGATCCCTGCAAAATCAACATGCACAGAGAAAGAAGTGTACTCCCTCCGTCGAAAATACTTGCAGAGCATCCATTCTCCAACAAGTATTTCAACAAGTATTTCTGGACAAAGTACTGAACATTTTCCTGGCCAAGTCAACTTTGAGAGAGGATATGCACCATCATGGAGAAAATTAATACTACTTGCGATATAACAACAACCCAATTGTGGGATGCCTGTCTCATACGTACGTAACATCAGTTTCTTGACTACAGAACCAGCTTACAGGTGTTCATATTGACTGGAACAGCATTACTAAGAATCCTCCTCTTATGTTACGCTTGTTCATTTTGATCACAAGCTACTGCCAAACACAAAAGGCAGGGGAGCCTGCTCAGTGCTCATGCTACTCCTTGAGCTCACAGAACCAACACAAGCAAAGCTCATATTACTGTCACAGTATTCTCCTACCGCTGATTGATCTCAGTATATCTATAAACCTCCACGTACCTTGGGTCGCGACATCTCTGAACAGATCTGCCATCCAGCCATCCACCATGAGGGAGCACTCGTCTTCGACAAATGCAGAGGATGATGCCAATCCTTCAGCCAGGAAGTCAGCATTGGAACACGACCATCAACAACCCGAGAGATTGTGCAGTGCAATTCAAAGTCAAGAGGAATCCTTGTGGTTGGGCAGCTCAGGGATCATCCCCTGGATCCTCCTCAGCTCGGCCAGCGCCTCCCGGGCGTCGGGCCGGTCGTCCTTGTCCGGCGCCACGCACCGGAACGCAAGCTCCGCCACCGCCTCCACGCTGGGCATCACGCCGGGGAGCTCGCCCAGCACCGGCGGGTCCACCACCTCCCTCAGCTCGCCGATCTGGATCTTGGACACCACCCAGTCCGCCAGCGTCACGTCCCGCCGCTCCCGGCCCACGTCCACGGGCCGCAGCCCCGTCACCAGCTCCAGCACCACCACGCCGAAGCTGTACACGTCGCTCTTCTCCGTCAGCTGGAACGACCGGTGGTAGTCCGGGTCCAGGTACCCGGGAGTCCCCTGCGGCGCGGTGCAGCACACCACCTCCCGCCCGGTCGCCGTGGAGCAGGCGTCGGGCGTCGCCAGGAGCCGGGACAGGCCGAAGTCGCCGAGCCGGGCGCGCATGTCCGCCTCCACGAAGATGTTGGAGGAGGTTACGTCGCGGTGGACCACGTGCGGCTTGACCGCGAAGTGGAGGTACTCGAGCGCCGACGCGATCTGGGCCGCCATGGCGAGCCGGGTCCGCCAGGGGAGCGGCGGCGGCAGCGGCGAGGCGGCCGCGCGGCCCCGGCGGTGGAGGTGGTGCGAGAGGGTGCCGTTGGGGACGAAGTCGTAGACGAGGAGCAGCGCGCGCGGGTCGGCGCAGAAGCCGTGGAGGCGGACGAGGTGCGGGTGGCGGAGCGCGGAGAGGATGAGCACCTCGTTGCAGAAGGACTTGGTGATGGTGGCGGAGGACGGGGACGGGGAGGGCGGCACGTGGAGCCGCTTGACGGCGGCGGGGCGGCCGGCGGGCGGGAGGTACGCGAGGTACACCGTCCCGAAGCCGCCGTCCCCGAGCTTGCGCGCGGCGTCGAACCCGGCCGTGGCCGCGCGGAGCTGCTCGTAGGTGAAGGCCGGGCGGCTGTGGTGCAGGCCGTGGCGGCGGAGGAACGCGGCCGCGCGGGAGGACTGCGAGGCCTGCTGCCGCGACGCGCGGCCGCCCTCCCCCTTCCCGCGGATGCGGCGCACGGCGATGGCGACGCAGAGGTAGAGCAGGAGCACGGCGAGGAGCGACGCGGCGGCGACGAGCGCGGTGGTGAGCACGCGGCTCGCGCCCCCGCTGCCGCCGCCGCCGCTCTGGGCCCGGTGCTGGCGGGCGCGCGGGTGCGGGGGCGGAGGAGGGGGCTCGTGGTCGCCGAGCCGGGCCGCGGCCGGCGGCGGGAGGGCGGCGGCCAGGAGGAGGAGCAGGAGCAGGAGACGCGGGGGCATCTGGGCTCCGGCGCGGCGCGATCCAGGCGCGGTCGTTCGATCGGGCCGAGGAGCGGGGAGGAAAGGAGGGGAATTTGGTACTGGACGGGGGGCGGCGACCGGTGGGGAGACGAGGGTTGCTTCTGCTGCAGTGGCCACTCCCTGCCAGCGGAGTGCCGTGAGTCGTTTTCACGTCAGCACATGGGCGCTGGGGTCCACGGGAATGCGATTCTCTCCGGGTCTCCTCTTGGGGAAAATTAAGACGAACATATCTGGAAATTTCAACTACTCCATGTGTACAATGGACTTTCCTCCCCCTTGTGTTTCCGCAAGCCGCACCAGAGGTGTGTACACAATTATGTCGAGAAACAAAATTGTAGGGTTGACGGGGCAGCATGGTGAGGTGAGGAGCGCGGCGGCGGTCTGTGAGGCGGCAAGGATGGCGGCGGAGGTCGCTGGTAAGGCGTGGGGACTCGATCGAGGGGTGAATTGTAGGCCGAGAAGGGAGGTGAGTCGGACAATGAGGATGGGAGGTAAGTGCTCGAATGATCCATAACTCGTGCGAGCAATGGTATGGTTTCGAAGTTGTTGTCAATAAACTATCCGGATTTAGCGGTCAAATCTCAATTTCGAGTACTACATTGCATGAGATTGGCATGAAGATTGTGTCTCACAAAAGAAAACACGGCACGGGAGGATGAGTGATGCGCAAGCGAGTGTGATTGAAGGATCAGACGCCCCTTGTTCAAATCAAAAGTTACTGTATCTGAAATTCCGGTCGACCAGGATGGGACGGTGCAATGAGTGAACGCGAACACATTTGGAAATTTTAACGACTCAAATATGTACATTAAACTCCCTTCTCCATATGTCTCACAAGTCCCGGAAAGGAGAGCAAGCGGTCGGTGAGGCACCAACAATGGTGTTGATGAGGTTGGTTAGGCGTGGGGACTCGACGGGGAAGGGGGTAGCCAAGAGGAGTGTAAGGTTGAAAGATCCATAAGTTGTACCAGCAACGTCATTGTCTACTCCTTTCGTTTTTAAAATAGATGACTCAATTTTATACTAACTTTAATATAGTTATGGTCAATACATTGTTCAAAATTATCTGCCAAATCTCAACTTGAACATTCGATCCACGAGGTTTGGCGGTGCCTGGACAAATATGAAAAAGAGAAATGAACCGAGTAGTCGAGACGGTAATCTATGACCCCGGCGATAACTCGCATAAACAGGTATGTCATGTTATTTCAAACTTTAAAATCCGATAAACCACCGCGGCGCCCACACAAGGACCTCGGGTCAACACGGCATTTCACGTAGTCAACGGTTGGTTCCGCTGACGATTTTCGACGCGTACTCTAGACGTAACGACTCGGCACGAATGGTTAGCCGTACTACAAACCCAAAAGAAATGAAATACTCTAGACGCAACAAATTGTAACGGTGTACACCGTCATGTAGGATCAAGAGTGAATAACAACATTATTCCATAAAACACTCGGAGGAAAAACATCATTCCATAAAATGGATGAAAGGAACTGTTGGTTTGATATATGAAATTGATCCCCCTTGCACCGATCCACTCTGTGGAAACTCGAAAGCAATCCGTTGCTGGGTTCGGTTGGCACTGACACGGACGCACAACGGAAAGGAAAGGCCGCGGCCCGCGGCGCTGGAGTCAACTCACTCAGCTCAGCTGAGCTCACTCAGCCCGGTGCGCAACCGCGCGCGACGCACCCACACGACACACGCGTGCACGGGGTTGGCTTGGCGCCGTGCCCGTGCGCGCCCGTCTCGTTTCAGCGGCGCGGCGACGGGTTAGGCGGTGTGTGCGTGGCGCTGTTGGTTGGTTCAGCGGTCGCTGCTCGTGCTTAATGCGCTCATGCTCCCTGACCCCGACGTGCCGTCAGTTAATTAGAAGAGACGACCTGTCGACCTGTGGAGACAGCGACGACGAGGTGGAATTTGGAGCGCGGTCGCGCCGTCGCTGTCGATCAGCCGGCGACGCGGCTAGCAGGCTGTGGGGGCGATCGCAATCGGAGCCGTCGTACTGGTGGTAGTACTACTCTGTCTTGTTTAGTCGCCGTCGTAGTGATAAATAAAATTGTACGTACTCCGACGTGCTACGTGGTCGACTCGGCACGCCGGACAGCCACGTTCGTCAATCAATGGGTGATTTATGGTGTTCCGTGCCAAAGCGAAAAACAAGTAATCTGACTGTGACCGGTTTGGGGGTGGGGGGAGCAGTGGCGGAACGGCAATGCTGCATCTGCATTGACTGACTGGTTACTCCGGCACGATGCTGCTTTGCCTTTGATGTTGTTGGCCTTTGCAAGTTCGACGTGCTACGTGCTGCTACTGTAGTAGTAGTACTACTACTGTGCCGACGTTCTTTGAGATTCGATCAGACATAACAACATAGTTTTTGTTTTTTTAGAGTACGCCTAGGCGTACCATAGCTTTATAGAAAGCAGAATTTAGTTACAAGAAAGCTACCGCTCGATGCGAACAACGAGTGTAGCACGAACACCACACCGACAAGACCACAAACAAACACCACCGCTAGGCAAGCTACTATGCAAAAAGCCTATCCTAAACTGATACACAGCACCGCGTCTCGATCGACGCCGGACACCTCCGAAGACCACACTTCCACAGAACTTCTCTTGTCGACGCACCATCCACCCTGAGCGCCTAAGAGAAAGTGGCAGATGAATGGCAGGACTCGATCCAATCCGGAAAGACGCCGCCTTGGATTCACCAACGACCAACGTACATAGCGCCACTGAAGATCAGAAAAGGATAGCGGCGAACACCGGAGGAGAGCAACGAGGAACCAGTCGTGTCTCCAAACACAATGCTCCCAACAGAGGAGCGGCGTCGAGGACACCGCCATCGTGCCGATCAGAACATCGAATCTAGGCTTTCACCCGGAGACATCCACCAACACCGAGAGCGCGAGGGATGAGGCGAACACGCTCGACGATGCCTCCAAGGAGGGGAATGACATCCACTGATGCCATCACCGCCGGCCCGGCAGAAGCCGTGCAAAATTTTCATCCGCGCTTCGCCCATCGCCACGCCTCCATGGGATTGGTAGCACTGCCAAGAAGCCTCACAGCGCCGCCACCGCAGCACTTGCCGAAGTAGCTGCATAGCCGAGGACCAACGACCGACCACCCGGCAGGGAAACCGCGGCCACACATCCACTCCCAGCCTGCACGAGGGTCCGCAGCCAACCAGCACCTCCGGCCAGGTCCAGGACTGCCCGCAACGGCCGTCGCCCACTCCAAGGAACGACCTTGCGACAATCAGACCTGCCTCTCCACGGAGAAATCCCAGGCCGGCATCACCAGGAAAGCACCGCCGCTCTCCACGCCGCACAGGGATGACCGAAAGCTCGCTGCTCGCAAGACTCCATCTTGACCGAGCCATCGCAGCGCCGCCACCAACCTGCCCGTGAGAACCCAACACTGCCTCCCGCTGGCGCCACCCCCACCAGATCGAGCCACATCTCCTCTGCCACACCCCGTAAGGCCCTCCGCATCACCACCTCACCTGCCGTGCGCCGGCCATGAGCCCTCACCTCCAAGCAACGCAGATCTGGCCTGGCACGAGCGCCTCCGCGGTGAGGAGCACCAAGCCGCCACCGGCCTGCGCGCTTCGCAGCGACACGCCATCACCAGCCAGCTGCGCCGGGCCTCTCCTCCTCCAGCCAGCGCCCACCACAGAGTCATGACGAGCCGCCCCGAGACACCGGACCAGCAGGACCTCGCGCGCTCAACCCCGCCGCCATCAGCCCCGCACCACCAGCACCGCACCACCACACGGCGGATCCGGCCTGAGCAGCCCCGGATCCACCCCCCGACGCCGGCGAAGAGGGCCACCACACCGGATCTTGCAGCGCCGTCGGATGGATCCCCGCTAGCTGGCGAGCGCCGACACAAAGGAGCCCCGCCGCCACCATCCCTGGGGCACGCGCGGCTTCGCCGGCGTCCTCTCCGGCGGCGGCGAAGCGGATGGGGGTGAGAGGGAGTGGGCCGGCGGCGGCGCGATGGGGCTGCCCCCGAGCCGCCAGAGGAGGCGACGCGGGGGGAGGGAGCGTTTTTTTTCGCGGAGAGGGGCCTCCTGCATAGTGAAAGTGAAAGTGAAAGTGAAAGAGAAAGTGAAAGCATAGAAGGAGGAAGAGCAGGAGAAGGATCAGAGGGCGGCGCACTCCACGCTTTTTACGACCACCAGGATTCCGTTTCCATCTCAGTCGCAAAGCAAGTGCAACAAAATGTGCTTGGTTTAGAAGAAAAATCGAGAAATGCTCCTGTGATACGGGAGGCAGTTGAACTGAACTCTGCAAAATTCCAACTCAGAGATGTGCCCGAACTGATATGCAGAGTGCGTCATTTCAGCTCAGGGATGAAAATTGCTCGTTTTTTCATGCCTATTGACAGTGTAGTTGCACGAAGGAGTTTGATGTATTTATGTAAAAAGGCTTTCTCACATTGATGTCATTTGTAAGACATGTGCCTGCCAAATAGAAGGTGCAAATTCGATGATCCCGTGATGCAACTGTTTGAAGAATGATGATGCTCTTCTTAACATGGTCTTGATATTCCTTTGTAGTGCTTTTGTACAGTTATTCCATCTCCAGTGTGTGCTATCAAGAGACCCGACCAAACCTGGCCACCTTCTTGCTTCAGACATTGCCGAGAGTCTTTCGGTATCTGTGATAGTTGGTTCTCTCAAGTACTGAGGTCCAAACATCTTGATCACCATAGTGGCAAATCTGGCCATGGCGTCTTCACATGTGCTCTCATACACGCGGAGGTACTCGTCCCACGAGTCTGCGGTTGTGCCATATGCAAACATCCGCAGTGCAGCCATGCACTTTAGGTAACCAGATAATCCAATTCTTCGTACGACATCCTTCCTCAATATGAAGTAGTCATCGTAGCTCCAAAAGCCATTGTAGAGGATATCGTACACATTTTTATGCATCCGAAAATGCCGGCGAAAATTGTCCA